TGAATTTGCAGAATGCTAGTACGAGGACCAGGACCAAAAGAACAGCCCAGCAAGTACAAGTGTGTACACAGACAAACCAACGACCAACTGAGAGGCCGAACAGACAATCAAGTCGGCCATCCAGCCAGCCAGCCAGCCAGCCAGCCAGTCAGCAAGCGAACTAAACAGCGGGAGTGATGAGAGGTGATGAGAAGAAAAGCCAGTTAGGAACCATACGATTTGCTAACTGCTGTTGTATGCATGCTGATGTGGATTGTATTGCTGTTGATGAAGTTCATATTGACGATGACGGTGATGCGGTAGTTGTGGTTGCGGTGGTTGTGCTGGTTGTGAAGGCGCGATCGAGGAATCTGCTGTTCCTGTTCGGTAAGTCTCAATAGTTCTGCCAGTCAGACAACTTGTGTCAAAATGAAAGTATGTGCGTTTATTGGTGAGTGGATATTCATTCATTCACCCTGACCGTGAACGTGTGTTTGTCACTCTGTTTGTGTGTGTGTGAATCGCTGCATGCATGCACTTACGCACACATGCAAGCGTGTGTTTGTATGTGTGTGTGTGTGTGTGTGTGTTGAACGCACGTCCTGCCCTCATATAGGTACGTGACTGTGCACGTGCGGTCGTATCGGTGTGCACGCGTAATCATGCCCAACCAACAGTGTGAGGCTGTTTGCACGCGTGCACGTGCATTTGGGGCACACACTATTAGAAAGATGGCATTTTAAACCGCCAATTTCAAGCCCGAATAAACCAACCGACCAGGCCCGTGCGTCAAATGAGCAAAGGTGTGTAATTCGAACATAAACACCCTTCTTGCGTTGGCAATTGTTATCACCTGACGCGCGCATGTTAATCGGGAATTATCCACGCCACACTTAATCACATACGACCGAAATCACCATCGTTTATCCGACTTCCGAACCAACCGATGGACATTATTGATCTATGCTAGATCCTTGAAGCGGGCAATATTCGTTACTTTCGGAGAGCGCCATGTTGGTCCGTTGGTAAGTGGGTATGAAAATGAGTAACCAACATAAAGAGCGGACAGTTTAAAATGTTCCTCAATTGTTTCAGTGAATGCTGCCCATGTGTCGTCAAAAGATCTGGTCTTTCGTGGCAAAGTACCGTAAAGATATCCCATTGAATACCAAGTTAATAGCACCTGAGTAAAACTAAAAATCAGTTGCAGTTTGCCATCACATCGAAACGTTCTGAAATATTTTTGCTCTTGCCATATCAAGTTTCCATATGGAATTAGGAGGACAACGAAACTCTATCAAACAGGAAAACCAGCAAACCAGGTCAAATATGTAAAGGGACGGAATTCCATGCAATTTGGATTTGGGGTGTAGGATGAAAAACTGTCAATCAGAAAAGTAAGTTTCTTTCCACATTTCTGAAGTGCGGAAAACAATCCCAGGTAGTTTTAGGCATTGAACTATTCATGAATTCTGAAACAAGGGAGAGGATGATTCGAAAGCATTTTAAAATAGTTAGTTCCCAGATGCTCAAAATTTATTTTTTTTAATTTTCATTCAAAATCATTTTTTGTTGTAGAATATTTTGATTGACGGAGAAATAAGCTGCTTTTACAATGGTAGACCAGCAAGATAACAGAAGGATACAGTAAAAGTTAGACCTTAGAGAAATACGGGGAACCTACTCATGATTCCCCAACAAATATTCAAAAAGACCTTTTCCGTTTGGAGGGAAAATAACTGTATTTTGAAGTAAACAGGGTGAATAAAAAACTTCAGATTCCGATGTATTTAAGAGTTTTTCAAATGCGTCAACGGATAAAACTTGAATACTGTTTGATTACATTGATAAGCAACTTTCGCAATCACTTTAAGATGAAAAAACCTATCTAGGTATTTGAAAAAATTATCAAAATGGATGAATAACTTGCAAGTTACAAAATAATCGAATTACATTCGCGGTGAGATAGTGTTTCAGTCATCCGCTGATTGGACCGAAATTAAGAGATATTGGTTCGCAAATAAATTGTGGTATAATACGAAACGAAATTTGATAACAACAAAAAGTAGCTTTATTTGAACAGTCACATAACTAATTAGATACAGGGTGACCAAGATAAGGAAACGATAGGGCGGTATGAACATTGTTAGCAAAGATGATATCCCCAAAATGTTTGGTAAAAGTTATGTATTGACGAAATGATAATACTGGCATTATGGAGTTTTAAACATCTGTGATAAAATAGTGTGACTCACTACTTTCATAGAAAGACACATGATTGATAAATCAACTACCCACACCTTGAGAGGTCCAGGAAGAATCGTAGTGCGTCAAATTGCTAGTGAAACGTTCTCTTCCATCGTGATACGAGGAATGGATCTAATATGTGCTGGTTTCCGGACAGCAAAGGTCCTGAGAAAATTTCGGTAACAGCCTGGATGGAGAGTACAATCTGGTCACCGATACATGGTATACAAAGTTGAATTGGAACAAAATCTAAAATTCCTTTAGAGAATTTTGACAATATGTAATCGGTGAAATAGGGAGCGATCACTCATATTTGACAGGTCACAGCGTAAGAAGCTGGTTGTGTGAGACGTGCTCATTTCTATGAGACCACAAGTGAGCATAGTAGGACTCATTTCATTAAAAACGTAACTTGAGGTAACAACGATGATGATGGTCAAGACGGCCCCAATCCTGGTCACGTTTTCTTTTTGAGTTTTATTCCATAAATCGTTCGCATAATGGGACTCAAATAAAACTTCTAGGTTTCTGATTTGATCCAAAACTTTTGCATTACGAGGGGGGTGGAACGGTAGTTTTCGTGACCAGCCTTACCATTCCATTTGGTTCGTTACCGTAAACAGAGCCCGCATAATTGTTAGGGAAAGCGTATACACAATTCATGTACATCAATCGGAAAGCTACATTCTTCTCTGATGGCTGAATGGGCCTTAATCTGTTCTCTTAACTGGATCAACAAAAACCAAATAGAAATTCCATTATTTTCCCTTTATTATATTGGAGAAGGCTACAGTTGTGTGAGTGTACACTGTACATAATCTTTCCCTGCATGAAACTGACGATTTGCTAGGTTGAATTGAGGTATTGTACACAGGTTGTGCGGAAAAAATTGAATGTATAAGCAAAATAGATCCAGTTTGGAAAGATCGACTGACCATTCTTTTCATAGTGCGATACACGAAAGACCTATTTCTTTTATCTAGATGGCGTTGATTCTCTTCAAGGAGTTAGTTATACAACACGCAGCGATTCGGGTTCAAGTGATGTTCATCATCGACCGAACTATTTTCACCACCTCTACAGTCGGGGAGAGGCGGGACGGAACAATGCTGTAACTTTGATGAATAGCTCGGTTTACTTCTTACCCTGTTGATCATGTGTGCTTAGGAAATTTACTGCCCGGTAACTGCTGACTATTAAATGTGTCATTTTTGGACAAGGTTAAAGGGATGGGGAGTAAGTTTAGGCAACAATTTGGGAGCCTGCGGTCTAACGCTTTTGTACTCGTTGTGTAAGCGTGCGCCTATTTTAGTCATGCGTTGTGGTTCGATCTATATTCGAGTGAGTTTGGTCATTATTTTCGCCGGGGACATGGGGACCGGGGGCAAGGGACGGTTGTCATTGTCCAGGTCATGAAAGTTGAAAACAATGTTTTACAACCTTGTCCCGAACAGAATGATTCGAGTCAAATTTATTAGTCATGTTTGTTTTTGCGGTAAAATTCATTTGATGTTGGTCCACGGTTTGAATTTTTGCTTCGGTCTTTTGCTTTATTTTCTCCCGTGTATTTAATTCATTGTGCTTCTTAAAAGTGTCTACTAATTATTTTTCGGAAAACCTAAAATGGTTTAAGGAGGCAGTCATTTATCGATCTGCTGTAGTTTATGGGAGCTCTAGGCCACAATCATCGCCAACACAATGACTTAAACTGCTTGAGGGAAACATTGAATGCTAAAATTGACACAAACTGATCAACCTCTTTGAGTAGCATATCATGAAATGCTAAAAGGTAGAGATAACTTTCAACCGCAGTTTTAAACGTTTTTTTTTTGTTTGGCGAAAGGTGGTGCTAAATCAACATGACCTTGAGTTTGTGCATTTCACTCTATGTAATCAGGGAACGTTTTTTGTGTACTTCACTATTTCCTATTTTAAAATTGGAGTATATCCTGTCCTAGACTTTCAGTGTATGCAAAGTACCCAGTTGTGTGGATTAGTATCAATCAAAAGGATACAGTCTGACTCACATTGGTGCGAGTACTTTTTATCTCTGTCGAAAATGTTGAAGCAGTCGAGTTCAACGTGGATTCTGCTTAAAAATTCAAAATTGTAGGATTGTAATGATATGCTTAACTTTCTTCATGAAGAAGGTTCGTCCCGTGAATTTTTAAACAGGGGACTCAAATGATCAAAAAGATGCGAGTGGCTCTGAGGTTCCAACACAACGCCCGAGGTGCTGAGGTTTTAGTCCATACATGTATGGTCCCAAATAAATGAATTATAAATAATCTGTATGTGCAGTTTGTAGTGAGAATGCGTTCTTTTTTAAGCGTCTTTCCCATCGCTGCCGTTATAAATTTGTATTTAGAGTACACTTTGCAAAATGAACCTAGGCACACTGTTTATTGTGAGTGAAATTGTGATAAATTGATGGTTCATTATTACTAGTATGCGTATTAGCAATCTGTAAAGTTTCCAAGTCAGTATACAATGACAAGATGGTGTTTTTATTGTGTCTCGTCTTCTCCACAAAACCTACTAATAATAACCAATATAAACTTAGCTATGAGAAACGTACTCTATCATTTCTTCCTAAATTTCTACCTAGTCGATATAAATATAGTGTTAGATATATTGAAATTTGGTGGAAAGTGGTATATTCACACATAAGCCCCTTCTGCATCTGCACACATTATAACAAAGCGCAACTGTGAACAGACACTTGAAGTACATTTGCATTTTTATTCCAGAGTGTTTCAACGTTCTGGCGAGATATGGCGTTTACCAGCGTGGTGACAGCCTACCCTGCACAACCAGTCACTGATTTATCAAACGGAACAATCGGTCTGCAGGCATTCCCCAGTTTTCAGACGGTCAACATTCCCCAATCTAAACAAATGAGTCTTGTAAATTCTTCCGAGGCATCTACAAGCCTGATTGTGCCCTCTGTCACACCTCCTCCACCACCACCACAACAGCATACGCCCTACTTTCAGTCAGCTTCGTTACCCAATGCATATTTTACAACGACAAACAGCGCAAACGATCCCTTCCGATTTATTCATCCGACATTACATGCACTGATAAATCCATACACATCGTTTCGATCGTCACCTTACCAAATACCGGTGACCAATGGACAATCGACAAGGGCGTGTTTGCTGCCAACTCCAGCCTCGAGGGTGCAAACACCGAGTGCGGAGACAGTTCCCCTGGGAGAAAACAGTGGACTCGGGCGTAACACGGCCAGTGGCGAGGGTCAGTGTGAGTCCGGTACTATGTCGGAGGATCAGTTATCGATTAAACACAGCACATCGACGTCCGAAAGCCAATTTCCACATCAAAACACGATAATACTCATTGTCCGTTTATTAATGTCCGGCAAAGTAAGTTGGATCTTTCTAAAACAGAATGGATCTCAATTTTACGTAGCATTCCTTCGACCGATGCACTCATTTTTAAGTGCGCGCTAGCTTCTTAAAAAACTTTAATCCTGAGGTGGGGTCTAAAACAGCTTCGATTTGCTTGTGTGCGTGCCGTACCTGCATATGACCTTCGTTCGTCACTTCAGTAAACGTAAGAATAGAATGTGAAGCAAAGAAACCTATTGTGTTACGATCCTTGATATTTAGCATAATCTTTCCCGCCTTAGGAATAAACACGAGCTATAAAACTGGACCGAGAGAAAGCAACATATTATTTGAATATATTTCAACGATAAAATAGCTATGGGAAGCGCTTTTTCTGAACTCCATCGCCAATGTGACTGTGGTAATGTGGAACCGATTCAAAACTTGGTATTGTCCTAACGGGAATGTCAATACGCATTGTTCAGTTATTCCGAAATCAGAAAACAAGAAATGCATAGACCGACTTTCTAGAACAAAACGTAAGTAATAGCTTCGCTTTGACAAACAATAAAATCAACTGTTGCGAAGTGGAAGGAAAACCGTCGGCTAACATGTAATGCCGTGTTTTGATCCAGTGCATTAGAAAATGTCCTACAATATTTACCGATAAAGAACAATGTAAAATTGAACATTGACTTTCATGACAGCGCTTTTTCTTTTTCAGGAAGTGGGAAGTATAATCGGAAAGGTAAGTCATATTTCTGCAAATAATATATAGTATGGAAGAACGGCCTAACCTTATTATCTCAGACACATTACGGTAATTTTGAATCAAATCAATTTTATATCTTGAAGGTGCAATGTAAAATGATCTGAAATCGTTCAAGATCTACTCGAGAAAACTATTGTACGAATGCCATTTACGTACGCAAGACAAATTTCAGTGTTAGAATTTGTCTTTCACAATAGCCTCCCGCTTTGAAAACTTTCAGTGAAATATGATAAAAATAAACATGTACTTGGGCTTTTTTCCTAAAAGGTATTTTGAGGTATTTTGAATCCACTATCATCTTGATTAGACAACAGAACGTGAAATACGAACGATCCCGTTGTTCAGGTCTGTTCCTCTGGCTTTCTTGTTTTGCATTCAGAATACTATGCTTTGTAAGTTCTTACCAAACGTACTTCACTCCCTTACCCACAAAGTACCCCGTTCAAACCTATTAGTAATCCAAACTATAAGTGTTATTCGATGTACCCATACCCGTGTCCAGAAGTCCACCAGTGACGTTTACCGATCCTCAGAGCACGCTTCCCACCGCTTAACATTTGCTTTTTCAAACAATACCTGGTTTTGTTTTTACGTTTCCCGGACTAATTTTTACTAAAGAAATCGGGAACATTCGTTGTCACTTCATGAAAGCTACGATGTGTCTAGCAAAAATAACCAGATCAGACATACATGTATACGATAATGAATTACATCAAATCCATTAACCGAACACCTTGGTCATTTGAAATCTATAAGTGCGCATGCATATTACTTTCGGAATATATTGTGTTTCACTACCTTCCACCCTCAGTTTGGAGTTGACATACCTCTTGCATTATGTGTTGCCCTTCCACACCCATTCCCTTCGTTGCTCCGGATAGCGCTTTCAGTGTGCGTGCTCTCATAGTTTCGTCATCTTATTCATGAAAAGTAGACTGGTTATTTGTACTCCAGGAATGTATGCAATCACTGAAAATGATGTGTTCCCCACTGTTTTATGAATATATTCAACAGGGAATTCGATACGGAAGAACGACCGTAGCTATTTAAGCGACAAAGTTAAATAGTTCATTAACCCTGAGATTCGAGTTACTGATCTGGGAGAGACTTTAGAAACAGGACTATCCAAGCAGTTGTGCTTAACTCAGATAAAGTCTGTTTCTCAATTTAAGTCCAAGTTATTTATCCTCTCAGTTATTAGAGAGTGCTGGAACCTGGAAGGGATGAATACAGTTAGTCAGAGTGAAACCGCGATTTTGGGTTTTGAAACAAAATAACTTCATAAAGTGTTTTCCGCACAGTATTCATGTTCTCATAATTTCATGTTTTCTAATTTTTCAGCGCGGAGAGAATGTAAAGAAATATCGAGAGGAAGTGAGTTGTCCATTCGTCTTATTTAACGCAACTTGTGGAGGCCTTGAACAACAGACAGACGGCATTTGTTTTAATATTGCACTACCAGCTTAAGGGCAGTTAAATTAATAATCTAAACTAAAATAGAGATCACTGATTATTATTATTTTGTGTTCTGATATTTTGAAAGAGCTTATGAAAGTGTGAGCAATGACTTATGAAATTGAAACTGCTTATTTGCCATTGGGGATTCGGCTTCGTTGTTTGTAAAACAGCTCCGGACAACAAACCGTGTCATCAGCAGTGAATAATTTTTGTGCACTCTACCGCTAATCGGCCCACCAACATTCGGGTTGAAGGTTGGTACTTACCACTCATTCAACAACACAGTTGACGACCAACAACACTTCGAGCGAGTGGTTCAATGCTTCAACAATGTGACTTTCTGGTTCAAATGACTGTACGTTTCACTTGAAACCTGAAACTGCTCATGCCATGCCCGTGCTTTAGGTTCTGTTAATTTTTCGAATTCGAAATTTAGTTTATTTACAACGGAACGCAAACTTTGCACCAACAAACAGTCCCAACAAGGACGGAACAGCTATTTAGTGCTTCGTCGCAAATGAATTGCGTTTCCTATCTGGGAGAGAGTGGATCTGATAACCGAACTCACAGGAGGAACATACTCACTGTCAAACGACTGACGAAAAGTTAAACGGGCTTATTCAATAACACCAAAACTTTAGCTTGAGTCCTTTTATTCTGTTTCCTAATAAACTGTACAAATTCATATTGTGGAAGAGACGTAGGTTTTCTATTTGTAGATTGTAAAAGACATTACCAATGAAGATCGGAAAAACAATGCAATAAGAAATAATAGAATTAATTGCGGAGTACTATCATTTAGAAACTCTTGAATACTGCAAACAAAGTCATGTTTGAGGAGAAAACTGCGTAATCCATTTGGTTGTAAGCGTTGCACGAAGGCACATGACGCCCAGGTGTACGGAGGAATGTTTTCTAAAGGCTTGGGCAAAACCTGAACTCCTAAATGCAGTGTTTATGCAACTGTATTCTTCAAAAAGAATTATAGAACAATTTTATGTCCGGAATATTGTTTGTAATTCCCAACTTGACTATGTTTTTTCCAATCCGCAATATGTCGAACGCAGAGCGGGGCGCGAATAAACATATCGGATGGATCCAGTCCGGAACGCATTGTAACGGTAACTGGCACGACGGAACAGATTTTTGTGGCTTTTTCTCTTATGAGCCAAAAATTTGAAGATGTAAGTCGCTAAAATTTATAACCGTTTGGTGCCTTTTGTAAAGCATATTTTATGACCATGTGCGCAACCACTGGTCTGTTTCCGTACACAGGTATCTAACATAAGAGAATAGTACTTGTTATAGGTGTAATGGAGGACTTCGATATTTTTATTATGTACACCGTCAATTACAAATTTCGTTCTCAATCCAAGCTGTTGATTCAAATCCATAACAACACAGATTTTCCCGTTTTGCGCGAATGAATAAACGTTAAAAGTGGTGTGAGTTAATTTGGGCGCTTCCATGTGAATATTTCAAGCACACAGAGGATTAGAAGCAAATGCCAAACAACCTTTCTTGAAAAGACTTATTGGGATAGAACCGATGAACCATCATCATTCGATACGATCGCCCATCACTAATTTGTAAAATAGAATTTTCACTAAACTACTGAAGAATAGTCAATACATTTTAGGTGAAATAAGTGGTACGTAAATAGCTAAAGGCTGTCTAACACAGTAGGTATATGTGTATCATTAGTAACACTATTTGCTTAATTGCACCAGCTAAGATCTTCCCCAATATAAAGCTAACCGGTTCTGATTACTCATATTAATCGAATAAAAATGCCAGTTATAGAATTTCATAAGTCAGACGCAGTTGCATATACTGAGGACCGATAATAATTCCTTCATAGTCAACGCACTGAGATAAAGCCCAGTTGATATTGATCAGTCGGTTGTCAGTCATCAGCTTCACATTTGAAGTCTCCTCGTATCAAAGAGTAAAATTAAAAATTATTCAAACCAAATATCACGTGCATTCAATATATGGCTTGTTGTAAACCTAAGCGAAAAACTTCTGACCGTCATCTGTTTGGTTTCGGTTGAGGTGTACTAGATAAATTATTTGAATAGACTAATGAATTTAGTGTACGGAACTTCTGTTTGTCCTTGTTTAACTGTCCTTCCAGATCTTTGTGAGTAAATTTTCCAGATAACTGCTTTGCTCATACGGTGTCAGATGCCTTGATAAACATGTGTCAGTAACTGATGTATCACAAGACCACTACATTGGTGGAAGAAGATAACGTACGGTACATAGCACAATCAATCCACTAAAATCCTAACACCGTTACATTTTTGCCTGTGGTGACCTAACTGTGATGATTCGGTGATTTATCATGTGTTTATTGTTTGTCATTATCGGTTAAAATTACGACATGCATATTGATTTGAATGCGTCGTTCATATTGAGACTTTTTAGGAGTACTTTTCTTTTACCTCGTCGTCTGGAGTGAAAGGAGACTTAATCGGGTTAGCTAGAACGCATTTCAATGTCTCAAAACATCAACATTCCCAGATCAATGTTGTATAAACAACATGGTTTAGTATCAACTAAGTACAACATCACCGTATCCAAAGCAATGATAAGCAGCCGGAGATAATCAAAAAGTTGTTCGATTGATTATTGGTATTGATACCATGAATCACTGGGTCCCAACGGTGGCGACCGACCGTAATTTCTCGGCTACAATGAAGAATCTAGCAGTGGGGTGTATTTCCAGCGAGATATTATACCTCAAATTGGCTGTAACCTGCACAACCTCTAAATTATGAGTATGAATAGATAAAATATGATTGTTTATACCTGATCTGCTAAAAGATAGCCGCCATCGGTGGTTCAGGATGGGAAAGAACCATGAATTTTGATTATACTGTACCTTCACATATCGAGATTCTTAGTTAGAAGTATCTACCTTCATAAAACTATTTTAGTTTTTCACAGAATACAGTGTGAAGGGACCGCAAATTCGATAATTAAGGCACAGTTGTATTGAAATATTTTGAAGATATTGAATTCGTAAGTGACCGATTCCCTTGCGGCATTTAGAAAATCACCAAAAGCATCGTTTATTAGCCGTTGAGCTTACCTCGACAGCTAATAACAAAGAACCACGCAGATACTTCAAAATAACAAGAGGTCGTCCAGAGCTGTTTAAGCAAAAAGGTTTCCATCAATCGATCCAGTAAGAAAAGTTTCTTGGAAACGAATATTAACAATGTCTTCGTGTGCACCATTGGCGGTTATGTTTGACTTGTGTCATTTTTTATGCAAACGTTGAATGAACAATGTGTGAACATCAAACTACTTCTTATAGCAATTTCACTTCTCACAAGTCCGTCATTGTTCCGTGAGCTTTTCCCTTTAATAATCTGGGCTTGCGCATTTCAAAATTCTTTTGTTTTAAAGGTGTTAAATTGCTTAGTGATAAATGAAACCGTTTGATGGCCACGTGACAATATGCTCACATTAACGATAGAAGATATAGAATTTAGTGTGATCTCCGAAGCTACATTTAACAGAATGTTAATCCTCCGGTTATTATTATTTGTAAGTATTCTACCATATGAGGGCCTTTGTGTGTCAAGCTATTTAAATCTCGTTCATCATGTAAATCTTTTCACGATGCATGAAAAAAGCAATTCTTTCTCTCAGAAATGTTTTTCTCCTGTTCAGTTAACCGTGCAGTTTAATCTGATCTCCTACTCCGGGCTAGTCATGCGATTATAGGCGCAAAGCTGACCTCATCAACCTATTATTCAGGTCAACAGTGATTTCGCCTGAGGGGTGATCTAGTGGTCTTTTGATTTGCCAAATATTCTCCGAGATCCGGAAGTGGTCATGCATCCGATACGGCATAGTCTGCAGGGGACTAATTTTGAGGCCGTACGTGTATTTTAATGCGTTAATATTTTTTCTTAAATCGTCCTTTTAATACATCCACCATGGTTGGTCTCTCGTACTGCGACACTAATAAACCAGAGAAAAATAGCTTGCTTCCGTTGAGTTCATTCACCAAATAACTCCCTTATGAACAGCGTTTAGAGATGTAAACAATTTTAGCTGAAGATTGCGATCATTTGGTCGTAGTGTTTTAATGAGTGGTTTGAAAATCATGGGCCAGCGATTGTTGTGGTGAGCTTTGAAAATATATTTATTGAGCACTTTCATTTAAGGTATGTGATATCGGAGTACACCGAGATCACGATAGTTTGGGTCGACTGGTTTCAGTGGAGGGGAAGCTTTTCAAAGTGACCAAAAGGGGAGTTATTGCAAAAATAAAGAGATAGATCTTTCAGGCGAATACCTATCCCCTTAACTGAAAGAGAGCTTTCAGGGGGTTGATTGTACATCATAAAGCACTCTAAACGTTGCCTCCTCTGTCTGATGGCTCCTTTCTGAGTGGTGTCCAATCGCTTCATCTGAAATCCTTTTTCTTGTATCCGTTTTCTAAATCACTGGATCACCTCAGTCATTCATCGCAATATCTGCCTGATAGTTCTTTCTGGATAACTTATGGAACATAACCACGAAAATGTAACTGATGACGGTAGGAAGAGATCATTCACCGGCTTATGAGAAGTACACGTACTTTTTCAGCAGGGATCATTTTAGAACGTCTGTCGAAACCAGCCAATCAAATCTCGCACACCTGATCATTACACAAAAATAGCATTTCATACATTCACAGAAACCTGTCATCTTAAAAAACAAGTGATGAAGAGCAAGGTTTGCTTGCTGCCCTATTTACTTAGATCAAGTTTCGTATCCTAAAACCAGGATTAGCAAAACTCTAACAAAGCCCACTAGACAGTTTCCAATGCAAAAACAGTTTCTTTATTGCTACAAATGAAACAGAAGATTACTCGAGAAGCTGTTCGCATTTGATATCGGTCAGCAGCTGTTAACATATTTTGGTACGAAGGAACAACGAAAAAAAGAAAAACAAAACACGTCCGAAGAAAGCATCAATTACTTGTTCAGTTATATACTGTAACTGGGCACCCGATTTGTAGCAAATTGGGCGAAAGATGCACTTTATTCATGATGTCTTTAAACGTTTAAAAACCTAGAATGAATTTGCAGCAAATTTTTCAGTTTTATTACCTAATGCGAAGATACCCTTTTAATTTCTGGTCAAAGATTTTCTTGGAAACCTGATTGTTTTAATAAACTTCAAAACAGATCCACTTTTTTGTGCTGCGCACATTTCATTTGTAATTTTATTTATCGCGTATAAGATCATGGATAAAACGGTGTAACTTTTTACTTACACTTCAACGACAAAGTTTTTTCGAGGCATTTTTTCTTGTTGGTTTAATTCCGAACCTTAAAATGTTTTGTCATTTACTTAGTGGTCGTATAACAATTGGCAATGAACAACAGGTTTTGCAAGATTCCGTGGCGCTATTTTATAATTGATGTAATTAAAGCAGGTACACAATAATCAACAGTGTCCTTAATAATAATGATTTTTAAAACAAATAGTTGCACTTTGTTTTTGTGCATTCACTATTCTCAATCTAACGGTGCATAACTAAAATGATATAAGTACCACATTCGTTAACCAGTTATCGTGTTCGATAGCATGTGTACCTTCCGTCACGATTCCTTCTGAATTCAAACCATGATGGCATTTTGTTCTGAGAAATTATTTGCCAGGTACGATTGTGCTCCTTGGCTGAAGAAGTACTGAATAAATAATTATGTGCCCGATTTTGTCGTCAATCTCTGTGTGCGTGCCGTTGGTCCTAAAAATAATTGAAGCATAAACTTTCCAGTCGACCGGAAACCGTTGTGAAGGCAACGGAGCTTCAATCAAGGCTACCTTAGATACGACTGGTATGCGAGTACGCCCAGGCAACCAAAGTCAATGCACAATCTACCACGACAATACGAACACATCAACTCAATAATTAATCACACAAGATTTCTTACAATACACACGAGAGACAATGGACCATGTAATTCACAGACAGACGTGATTTACATTTTGTGATATTTGTTGGATACATTTTGATTAGTGCAAGTTTGTATTGTTTATTTCTATTCACAGGATTTCACACAAGGTTTGCTGAGAATGGGTGATGAAGGTTTGACTTGTCCTCCGGTTACACTTCGTTTGCTCGTACCGGCTACTCAATGCGGCTCAATAATTGGGAAAGGCGGCAGCCGAATCAAAGACGTACGAGAAGTAAGTATTGTTCTCAATAAAATGTTTGCTTCAGTGACGAGATAAAAAGGAAATCAGTAACACCATGGATCTGTTTTTCGGTTATTTGTGTACGCTCCCGTTATTATTGCAGAATAATGCACAAAGTTGTAACGAACTATACAGTTTCTCGTAAAGCTAATAATCACCAAGTTGCATTAGACAATTATTCAAAAATGCATTCAGGGCATGGAGTGGAATATGGTTGACGAATTACAATCAGTGAATTGGATAGATTATCAACTGGTGTGTTCTATTATGATCGTTGCCTCCAATCAACAGTTGATTACGTCTTGTCTGCGAGCCATGAAAACATCAGAATATAAGTGGGTAGGTTTTGTTTCCTCACTAGCAGATATTTGTTCGGAATGGCACCGCTTTGACAACGTGCAGTTTGTACGGGTAGGTTCAGTCGAGGAATGTTGACCATCCTAACATCAGTAAGCAGATGACCACGTAAATCCATAATTATTATTCGCTCTGGCTAAGGAAAGGAATAATGAGCAAATTCCGTTGCTCGACTTTGAAACATTTGGACAACACAGGAAATCCGGTTGATATACGGAGGTCAAAGGTTTAATCTGCAGGATCTCAATGGTTCTGTCAACCAGTCTAAGGTAAATTATGCTATACTACGCATAACCGAAATGGTAATCATTTGGAACAAATATACCGAAGTGAGCAAATATTAACTGACCAACAAAGTTATGAAGTTGGCAAGATCCATAGATGTGATGCAGTTCGAACTAGGTAGGGGTATAAGGTCAAAACAATAGAATGCCCCAGTTACACAACCAGTTCAAATGGCAATTATCTCACACCTGCATATTAGTGCAAGGCCAGATTTTAAATGTCAGTTTGCAGTCGCACATAATCTGGTGAGCTTGAAGGCTAGATGAAAACTTCTTCACTTTAACTGTCAACATGATGCGTGCATTAAGTGAATGATATTTTCCGTTAGTGAAACTCACATTTTCATCAGAATTTAACATAAAAACAGAAATAATGTTTGCAACATAACGTTTTGAAGTTAATTCAATAATGTCTAAATTCAAATGTGTACGGGATAATAGGGATAGGCTGGTATGCATGTTACTTTTATCTCAAAATGATCCCCTCCGGGGGCATCCACTGAAGGTAAAGACCCAGAAAATCTACCCTGATTGCTGGCATCACTCGTTTGCAGTCAGTGTGCGGTGTATGGAATTCTGTTCCATCCGATGTAGTGTGAGCTCCCACAGTTGAACTATTTAGATCGCAAATTGATAAAGTATCGGAGCACTTAACATTTCGATATCCGTGAGTGATAATGCATACGGTTATTATTATTATTATTTCGTTGTGAAGTTATTCAAAATAATCTGCAAAAGCCCTATGGGGCATGATAAACTTTAGCCTTTTTAAGTCGCCCATAATAAAACTTTGATTTTGCCTTTGTTTGGAATACAACCAATCTCAGTCAGTTTTTGTTCCAAAGTTTCATTTTACCATAGCTTTTCTTTGCTCATTGGCTAAAAATTTCTTCCAGTGCATGATGAGTATCAATGAACCACTCCAGAATAACAAAGCACATGATTAATATTCAGTTAACAGGTGCCTCCATTCAAGTGGCAAGTGAAGCTCTACCAACTTCTACTGAAAGAACAGTTACAATCTCAGGGTCTGCCAAGGCCATTGCCAAATGTATTCGCCAGCTGTGCGATATTTTCATTGAAGTAAGTTTTCTCACTCTAACTCCACTGAATGATTTTATCACCTCTTTGCAAATAAAACCTGTGATCGATTGTTGTGGGGAATAATGCAAAGTGCAACTGATCTATACTGCTGTCGAATGGACTTGTTAACCACTACGGAAGTCAATAGGGATAACACTTGATTTCTCTAGAATGAACGCGAGAGGTCCCGAAGGAGTTGACAACGCACACGTTGTGATCTACTGTATATTCCCCTGTACTCTTCTTCAGCTTGACACTGATAAAAAAGGTATAATTTGGCTTACCTATAAAGCTCATGTTATCTTGTACTGTTATTGGGGTGATAAATGTATACGAAATGTAGTTTAAAATGGCACGTTTATTTCTCTGAGGGCTCACCCACCAAAGTAATTATACTTTGGTTATTATTTCCTAGATGAAAATGTTTTATTCATTGATGACTGACAAAACGTTTGAAAGTTACCCTTAACCCCGGCAGACTACATAATACAAAGGTATTTATTTGATTGTCTCGTGTTTCTATGTCTTAACCGTACTAGTGTGAATTTCCATTCCACTTGTTTTCCTCGTTTTCATTTAGTCTTATCTACAGTTTGAGTCTGGTTCCTTAATTTATTGAAATCAATAGGATATTACAAATTAATTATTCTATAATAAACACAACTAACTCTCTCTCTGTCTATCCACATTGTTTATGATCACGATTCCAGTCACCAGCTAAGGGACCGGTTATTCCTTATCGCCCGAAATCTGCATTTGTGAATCACGCGATGATGTGTCCGACTGGTCCCTATCCAGCAGGTGTGATGCACACGCCCATTGCGTACGCTGGAATCCACGCAGAGGTATGTTTACCAAATCTAAATAGATAGTGCGCTAGCTAGCACTCTATGGATAGATAGATATCCGGGATAGGATAAAAGAAATACGTTTTATATGCATTTAAATGCGATGGAAATGTTTGTCATAACCAACAAAGAGCACTGGACAGCTGTTTCGTCCTGTTTGGGACTCGTCTGCAGTGCGTACTTTTTGTGTCCCTATCAGCACTCGAACCGCGATCAGTCGTGTCGGGACTTCAAACCCTCACCCCACGGTCGACGGTTGTCACCTTGTGCGAATGACTCAATCACAAGTGTCTGGTGCCTCTGAAAAACCGAATGGGCTAATCTAAGATTGATACTCGAAATACGTTTTGCCTTCACAGTGCTTTTGATCCGGACAATTTAGAGCTTTCAGTTTACTCAAAATTAACAAATGCACAATAAAGATTAAATAGTCAGATGAATTGATTCATGAGTTTTATAGACTATAGCACCAAAAGAACAATGAGTGGACCAATAACTACACTGAAACAAAACTGTTTTAGCGGTTTAATCTCATATCTTAATGAGGATTACAATGACATTAATCAGTTTCTGAAAAACTAACAATTGTCTATTATTACAAAAGTTTTGAATACAGTCGATTACCTTGGTGAAAGTGATAGAAAAACAATTAATCCTCTCCCATAAATAGAACAACCCGGAACACGCCTACGCAACCTGCACATCCACTCACGGTATGGTGATCAATTCTCCAGCGCAAATCAACACCGAACCATCGACTCCGATCCCCTCGTCAGTGGGTCAGCCTATGCTGGGAACCATTGGCATTTCTCAGCCGAAAATTGTTACAGTCGATGGAAACATGAACGCTGCGTTCAGCGCGTCGACCGATTCACCAACAACCGCAGGGAACGCTCTCAATCCTGGCCGACCGAATCTGGTCGGTGATCTGCTTGCAGGTTTGTCCACAATTTTTTAAGGAACAAGGATATCTATGCAATTCTTCAAGATTTGGAGGTCGTAGTATGTACCTACCATTTGTGGAATAGGAAGTTGAAAGTACACTATGCGATTTCAGACTTGAGGGGTCTGAAGTAACAAGAAAATAAATGCATGATGAAAAAGTGTGATTACGGCGGATGTTTTCGGAGGCTGTATAGTTGAAGTAAATCTGATGGGAATAAATACACCGAAATACATAACTTTCTTTGATTGAATTGGATGGATTTCTCGTTCTTTTTAAAAATGCTTAACAGTTTGTCATCACCGAGAAGTTTACTAAAATTAGCTGAGGCGAAAACCGGGAAACTAACCACTCTGTGTGCATATTTCGAGAATCCATCATTAATTGTCGGCAGCATTATATGCAATGAATACTTTGAAATATATGCATGATCATGAAAATGGCAGACTATGGTAACAGTTGACACCTAGCGCGGCAAGTAAAAGTTATACACCATTGATATGTACGCAGTTTGCAATGAGAGGACGAGCCACGGATAGTAGATCGTGCAAAAGAAAGTCCGCACACGCGATATCTTTTCTCAGATGAACAAATTTAAATGAAAATTGATATTGTTTACAGAAAACGTATTGCATATCATTTGGTTTTTTTTCAGGAAAATACAAGAACTAAAGCATTATTCCAGTAAGTAATATTCAAAGTGAGAAGCTCGTGCATAGTTTTGTTCATTATTGATCGTGGGAGCAGGTAGACAAGGATTAGGTTATAGGGTAGTTTAGATTCCGGATTCACAGTAATTAATAAAGTTAATCAAAAATGCAGGTATGGGATAAAAATGACAGCATGCAAATTTTCCAAACATGTGAATCTTTGCGATAATCTACTAATTATCCTCCGAAATGAACAAAAAAGGAACACAAGACTGATTGGATATCCGGAGCTCTACTAAGGCTGGAAAATAAATGTAGCAGAGGGAAAGCATTGAATGAAAAATGCAGATGACATGTGCTGTTGGGCTGCATTCTCGTCAGGATTGTTTACATGTGAAAAAGTAGTGCTATAGTTGCTTTCGAAGCTATGCAGACTATCCCAGATATTTGTCTGGTTTGAGTGTGAATGTGATTAAGTTCTGAATCATTTTAAAGATTGCTGCTGGACCGAATTGAATTGATAACCCTTGACCCGGGATACATTCACAAAATACTTTATTTCCAATGTTCAATGTACAATGTATAGGATAGAAGATAGGGGAATATATTGAAGATATCACAATCAATTTGTTTCCTATTTTAAAAGTTTTCATTCTCCCACGCACAAAACATGTGGGCACAAGACTTGATCCTGCAACGCATGGGAGAGTTTTAGATGATTTATTCGAAAGCGGGTGATTTCTACCAGCATCAAAATGATAAAAAAGTGATTAAAATGCTACATTTAAGTTGGATTATCAAACTCAAAAGTAGACTGCCATGTAGAACCGCCTGGTTATGGGGATGATTGTTTCAAATTCTTGAAAAGCCGAATGATGGTTGCAACACTGGTCGCCTCAGACCGATGAACAAGTGGTATTGTCAAAACAAAATACCTAAAACTTCATTTGGACCAGTAATTGTTAGACGCATTGTGCTTAAATGTGAAACTTGTCATTCAGTACGGGTTTCGGTCAATATGTGAATGAACAAGGAAGACTAAACAATCCTTTTTGTGGCAAAATATCTATAAATGAAATTTATCACATGTATTTGATCAAAGTAAAATGACTTGGGCATACACGCTGTTTCAACTATCTAGACACGACTGTGTATTGTTGAGGCTAAAAAAAACAGTGTGTGAATTACTGTGATGAAAAAACTTTCTTTGATGCGTAAAAGACAGCATATATTACGACAGAGGCGAACACGTTGATGTCTATGAAAATCAAATTTTCTTAAAATGAACATGAAAAGCAACGAACAAGTAGATGTTAAATCAATGGGCTTTGGGTCGGAGGAGTTAATCTGCATGAAGATTTTTCGAGTGCGTTTTAATTTCACACGCATGGAGAGCTGAGCACCACTACTGGTTCATCGGGGTTCCAGTGGACAAAAACATGTTGGCATTTCGCAGAAGTTTATTGTGTTTTTGATCCCATATTCGTAAGCCGTACGAAGAGAATGGGATTGTTGCCAACTATTTCGAAATACAAGCTCGTTCTCTGTGATTGATGTAATTTCTGGCCTGCTGATAGTGCGCACTACCGATTTAAAATGACCAACGGGTTTAGAAGAGAACAATTATCATAATAATTTAGTTCGTTACTCTGTTGTCGCGCAACCGGATATAGTTATTAGGAACTATGTAGGCATGAGCCCAAAGGACCCAAATGCATGTAATTTATTCAAAGTTTTATGGCATACCGCAGACCCAATGAGGTTACTCATCCGGTTACGCGACAGAAACACACCCCATTATTTTATCTTCCGGTTTCCCTCTCTATCGAATCGTTGTCCAACTCAGTGCATGATGAACACTTTGATGCGCTTTGCAGTTTATATAGTACTCTGCTTTTGTATACCTTTCACGGAAACAATTTTTTGATTTTGCACATGATATTTTCAAACAAGAGTATTTAGACAAATGTTCATTGAGGAACAATTTTCCTTTGAATCAAATAGAGTGTCATGAAGCAATCGAAATCTTCAGGCTTTGTTTACATCGTTTTTGATAAAGAGAACTGAACATTAATATGAGATCCCTTATCGACGTGGTGAAAAGCAAGCGACAGAGTTAGCGTGTTTACACGTAAAAGCGAAAATTCTTCCCGGGAAAAAATATCCGTGAACTTTTGCGATTCGTTTTGCATTGTTCATTTCACATTGTTTCACCGGTATACGGTCGAGTCGGAAATCCTTTTAATAAAGACCAGCTTGCAGAGGATTGAAGAATCGATCGCAATGGGAAAATTGTCCTACAAAAGTAAAACAGTTTGATTCTCACAATTTTACGATTTACATTAACCAAATCCGAAGTTAGTCCATAGTAAACTGGAAACAGAGTTCAGTTATCATTAGTGAATAATTCTGATGAGAAAATAAGTTTGATGCATCAAGACGGATTCCCTTCAAATTTACCTGAGTTGAAAGAAATTCATTCAACGTGAGATGCAGGAGCCGAACAGTTTCGGAGAAGGTACAACGTATCATGAAGTATACAACATGTTGACGAGATAATACGATATGCATATCGAATAAGTTACTTCTCAAATATGTGGTTCTGTAAAGACAGCATGGTAGCTAAATCATGTTCATGATATCAAGCAATGATAAAATGCCTCAAAGTCTGCATTGTAGCACACCATAAAGTGATATTATTTTATATTTTGGAATTAGGAAACCAAAGCCGCTTGATAAAATTAGTTGACAAATAAGGTGTTCACCTTTCATTCTCATCTATCAACTTATGAATGGTACTTCATTCTTGTTTGTTATAGAACAGTGACCCACCACCGGTTTTTAACAAGTGCAATATTCCTACGCATCATGAGTTCTGTGGGAATAAAGAATTTATCTTATCTTAAGCAACAACTCCATGCTTTTTCGCAGATCCTTCGCAACTCACAAACGCCTTGAGCTTTTCCGATTTCTCCAACAATCCGGTTTCTCTACTGAATGCCATCCATTCAAATCATCTGGCCACAAACAGCCTACCCAATCCCATCCTGAACCCAATCGCCCCAGGATTTGCATTTCCTGAATTATCTCTAAACCCGCGATTATTGGGATTTTATAATCCACAACCGATTGCCGTTCCACACCCGAACGGTACGGATGTCAGTGATGAAGCGACTGATCCAAGACAACCAAATGGGGCTTTCCTGCCCGATCTTTATGCAAATAACCCTTTGCTGTCGTTGATTCATTCGAATGGATACTTACAGTCGACAGGAATGCTTAGTCCCGTGCCACCCAGTCCGGTTCCAATTCTGCAAAATAAATCGTCTATTCTTGGTTTACCCGCGTTTCCATTGCAACCGACACTTTTAAGCTCATCCAGTGGTCTTCCAGCCTGCCCCGAGGATACAAACGTAATCAAAGAAATTGTGCTGTCGAACGATCTGATTGGTTGTATCATTGGACGTGGGGGTACGACAGTAAATGAAATTCGGAACATTTCCAAAGCCCAGGTGAAAATTTCTAACTGTGAGGATGGTGCAAAGGATCGCAAAGTAACCTTATCAGGTTCACCACATGCGGTTAACTTGGCACATTTTCTCATCATTAACAGGTAAATGAGAAACCGTCACGCTTTGCATTCTGCGATGTTTCATTGTTACATTGTAAATGCTTCACCCGAGTTTCTCTTGCAAATATATGCATTCATAATTGATCCCACAAGAGAATCAATGTTGCTGTAATAGGTCAAACTTTGTTCACTGCTAACGTGTTAATAGAATGATAATGATAATAGGTTCCCCACATTATCATTATTTGTATTTATGTAGAATAATAAATTGGTCCTCAAAACAAATGGATAAGTAACGACAGCTCGATTTGCTTTAATATCTTTTATCGAAAATCTTGGGGAAAATGATTCGAGACAAATAAAACATTGTATAACAGTTCAGCTAACAATAATTAGATTACAATTCATCTTGCATGCTGTTAACATACGCTTTCAACGCAAATGGTCCGAATTTACATTTTTGGATCTGTAGAAACCACATCAAAAGTGAAACGTATTTGTAACGGTTTCCAGTTGCACGATTGCCTGGACCAACTGAGTATTACACGTTTACGTTTTAGCTTCCAAAAGATGGTCATTCAAAAGCAGTTATGAGTTTTAATTGTGTGAAGTAAGAAGAACTTTCATTATAGAATAATTTTTGATAGCATGTTCAACAGTATTTGCCATTATCTCATCGCGCTCAAAAATGCAATTTTGCATGTCCCATTGGTTCTCTTTTTGCATGTTTACCCTCTGCATGCCCACAATATCTGTGCGGATGGATCTGCTTGCTACATATTCAGTGTCGCAGCTCATCAGCAAATGTGGTCATTCAATGTTCAACTTGCATCAGCTGCAACACTCCTGATGACGCAATCTCGTGCGCCAAGCGATTCCACGGAAAGTATCAAAATCCCCTGGCCTGCTTTGAATATTGCCCCGAAGACCGACGTGAGTGAACACGAGTGGGAACCGGAAGCCTCTTCAAACTGCCCAAATCACAAAAGGGATGTATCGCAAAATGCGTATGAAAATCTGGCAGACATTCCCCGTTCCGTTCCTGATATAGTAGATTCGAATCCCGCTAATCTGAAACAGCATGCGCTTCATATCAAAATGACTTCGTGCAAACCAAGTGAATTTAAACAGAAAGGCCGCTCAAAAATAGCACCTTATTGACTTTTATTCGGAAGTTGCAAAGGTGCATGAAGAAGATGCATGATGTTTTTACTGTTTGATCATTTTGAAGTGCAAATGGAAGGAAAACAATCAGCCAAAGTGATATTTTTATCAAAAACATTATTTTTAAATTTTATTTCCGTATTTATTCTATGATATTGTTTTCTCGAACCAATTTCAGGTTTACCTGTTGTGTTTGTGTATACTGATTTAAACATGCAAATAAATCCAATCGTTTATTACAGTGTATAAAGTTTGCATTTCTGACCATAAATAAATCCATTTACTTTTGATTGGTAAATCGTGTCTTTGGTTTCTCCATGTTTTATTCTTTTACGAGGATTTCTGCCGAATTGTTCGCGGGAATGATCACGTTTGTCAATCACTGAATGTCATGCAAGATCATTCAATCTCGCCACCCTATTAGAGCACTGACAAACTGCTCCAAAATTTGAAACCCCTGTGAGACCCCTTCCATCAGAAATCTTTGTGTCATCAATTGGGCAAGACAAATCAAGTGCCTTGTGCCATTATTCATTCTGTTCATATACATACACGTGGTGCTCAATACCGCTGTCAAAATGACCGACTATGGGCATACATCAGCTCAAATTGTTTGTATCAGTCAGAAGAGTTGCATCCAAGGTGATCATCATCATCACAATCATGGAACCATTAGCTCAAATGCTGCTGAATACCTACCCAACGTGGATTATTACTCGAGGAAGTCACACGCTGGCGTTTTCTTCCTAACTTCCTTCAAACCTTTTCCTCATACATACAAAGTTTTCACAACCAAAACAACAACAACAACAAAACTATTTTTTTCGCGTATTACTACATGGCTCATTTGACTCAAAGGACGGAATCGAGACATGTTTGACGTGACTGTCTCACAGTGATGGCTTTCTGGAGTGAATGAAATATTTCGATCACTCTGTGTGTTGAACGCCATTCATCTTATCGTCGATGATCTGTGCAACTCAACAAAACTAACTGCGCATTTGAGTCTGGAAACAGACTTGAATCATCGAATTTATGTAATTCACATTTTTTGTGCCAGGCTTGCCTACCACGCTTAACAAATAAGAGCGAAAATGGATTCTTTATTTCTGGTAGGATAGAGTAAGAGCTTCTGCCGTGTTTTGTTATTTTATTTTGGCAGAGTTAAAACAGATTCAAAAATTATCCAAAACAATCGTTCCCTCTACTCGATCGAACTCTTTTTGCGATTGCAAATGTGACATGATTTTGTGAAAAAACATAGATCTTTTTCGGTTATAATCACAAAACTGTTTGTTGAAATGATGTTTGGTTGTCGTTACTTGCCGGAATCGAACCATCAGTTATGTGAACAGCAGTACCAAAACATTTTATCTCCTTTTCAGAACAAATAACACGTGTGATACTGAACATATTTCATAGAATTATAAACATTTGTTGTTCGATTGTTGATTAATATCTATCATTGCAATTCTTTATGGAAGCTGGAAGGCCAATGAAATTGCTATTCGGTTTATGGAACAATCCAGACCCTCCAATCAAGCGATGCTTACTATATGAACTGAGAAACGAAGACAGAAATAGCAAAACTGCTTAGGTGTGTGCGATGTCCATGCAAAGGATCGAATTCCCTAGAGACTCTAGATCATCTTGCAATTAGATTACGTAAAAACAGAATTCATCAAGTGGGTTTGTGATCAGCGCTTTGACAGTGAATAAGCTCAAAAGTAATTATTTTGTTTGTGTGAAACTATTATTTTTCCTTGGGTTTTTACTTCTTCGCATTCGTTTCGGAGAGACAATTTTGAAATAAATCCAAATACACCTACCAAAAGTATCGTGTCCTAAAATTATTCTAACCAGTCACTTGTAACGAATAGACCTTTTGATTAGACCCGAAGCAACAAATGTGAAGCTTTCGTTCCAAATGGAAACAAATGTGGCGACAGCCTCACAAATGTTATTTTTTGGGGATCGTAATTTTGCGTAACTCTAAAGTTCACACTTTCCGTTCCTTCTTGAGTGTACCTTGTGGAAAGCAACATTTCGCTTTTTTGACATTAGGTCAAGTGAAACATTCCTGATTGAGGATAGTAGCGCAAAATAAGCTGGCACCATTTTCAGTCACATCAAGCTGAGGACGTGCTTTGCAGTGAGATATCTATTCAGATAGCAATCTTGACATTTTGGAATTATCACGGTTTTTCGTGTTGAACCGGCAAACTGATCATCATGACCTACACGTCTGCATTTAATCATCTGGAAGACATCTGGCTATAAACAGCTACTTTGTTTCATCAGAAAGCACGAATTCATAAAATTATTTTCTAGTGCTGTAAGGTCCCCCATTTATTAATAGTGTCGCGCCACACAAGTTAAGTGATCACATTCTGATCAACAACATATGTGCGAACTTTGCAACTCATCAGAAGCAATTCACAAGATGGAGAGAGGTACAGATTACTCAAGTATGTGACCAGTATTATTGTCAGTGTGACAACTGAGGACTGAGGCCGGGATGCCTTTTTTAGGGCACTTTTTCCTTCTGCGGCTGATCAGAACAATTCAGTTTTATCATTAAAATCGAGAAGAAAACATGGTGAAGAATTTTCAAACAACAAGATTGGGACGTCAGTAAATACCCAAAATACCCAAGAGGTAATAGCTACACGTTTGGCTGCTTGCGTGGGAATAAGATGCAGCTGAAATGGAAGCACTGAAAAAAATATTAGCACAGAGCAATGTTTCAGTTCCAACATGTGGTCATTTTTGTATATTATTTGCATATTATTTGATGCTGATGTAGCTAGAAGCAATATATGAAGGTGGACTAGAGCCATATTCGCAACACTCTTTCATACGACACTCAGGAAATGAACAAAAACAACAGCCACAGGGAACCATTTTTCAGTCAACTAAAGGAGGAAAATGGGCCTCCTGAGTAGAGAACTAATGTCCGTACTCAAAGGAACTGCTTCGGATACAGACGGACGACCTCTAAGTTATCTCAAATTCAATTTACATTGCGGTGATAGGATATGAAATTCGTACCGTTTAATGAACGACGTGAACATTGCCACTAGCATGTTTTACTAAACGCTGGTTAGTGTCGGCAGACAAATAGGCCATAAATCAAAGTAAATCAAACTAACTGAATCCCAATTACAGCTCCATCGATTAGTTCTCTAGATTTGAGAAAAATAATCTCAAAATGTCTCACAAGAAAACAATGTTTGCGAATAAAATGCGAATTCAGGAGCCTGAACTGTAGATCATCCTGCAGGATACAAATGTCAAGGTAAAACATTTATGCATTTACACATTTCAAGATGCATTCGGGATATAGTAGCCTATGCAAAACTTGTGTTATGAGGTTTTCTTATGATGGGCTGCACATTATTTGTAAGAATCAAGTGCTGCGTTCTGGTAAATGCAGTGCTACAAAAGTGTTGCAGTTACACAGCACTGTAGTCAGCATGCACTGCAATCATTTTGTTACTGAGTCTGTGAGATTTTAGGGATTGCTATCTTATGTTTATTTTGGACAGAACAAAGAGATCTTCCACCTTTTATATATATATATATGTATATAGTTTTATGCATCGCTTTAGGCTATGGAACTAAAATCGAATAAATCCTAGATGCTACGCGGCGATAGGACTGATTTCATAGTGTTTTCTCTGCGGTTCGAACACCGATATAGTTCCATTTCACCTGTTCGCCGAGCTCGGCAATTTGTTTGCAAACGTTTCATCACCAGTCGAGGTGGCATCATCAGTGCTTGTGAAGTGGCCACTTCACAAGAAATGTATTTCAGTTCACCCAAGCTACGAGAACCGATTTTCAATATTTTGTCACCGATAAACTTCGTCGTTAGCATAGCAGTATATACCAGTCGTTGATCGAACGTGTGTTGATCAACCTCTGACTCACGTCACAGAACCTGTCGATCACACGTAGCTCATTTTCAAACGCACGGCAGCACAATACCTGTTTCATATTGCATGCTTACTGTCGTTCGGTTCAGCTGGCCTGCAGAGGATGATAAACCTTTGGCTATTTGTGCCATTCCTTTTGCATTGGCTTTGGATTTAAAACGATACAGTAGTTAAATCTTCAGTGGTTGGGTTTTCCTGGCATTCAATCTACAGTCAGCCAAAGGCAGTAGGTTGAACTTCGGTGGTCAACGTGTTTCGCTTCGGGTTGGCTTGAACATTGTCCTGAGTGATGTTCCCGTACTGCGTGTATCCGTAGGTTGTTATCAGGGCTGCGTTCTTTCTCCAGTTTATCTGTTTCCACTTCCTGCATCACATATCATCACTCCAGAACGTTTGCTATGAAAAATACTATTACATTGGACGAGATTCCCAAAACCTTGCAGGAAATGCAAAACTACTTTAGGGACCTATCATCGTTCAGCAGAAAATAGCCTCAAAAATTCCATAATGGATTCGTTTATTCTGTAGTAGAACTTCGAATCTGGTAAGCTCTATTTCGTAGTGTTTTAAAGTCCTAAAGTATTAGGGCAATGATAATGAAAGTCAATTTGAAATTACAAATCGATGTTTGAAACTTATTGAATTGATTTGTTTCCCTCAAGTCATTGATGCAAAATGTAGGATTTCATAACCGGTTTGGGAACTGAGGTAAGGTCTGTGATATTTAAAGCAAAGTCAAGCGGCACACTTTTAAGATAGGAATATTTGCAAAATGGCCAGGATAATCGATGTGATTAGCTGAAAAACCAGTCCAAGGAACTATCGATTTGTTTGCAGTCCTGTGACATACAACAACTGACCGTGCGATGAAACCGGAATTTTGACGTTGACCGAGGCAATCAAAACACGAGAATCAGTTGGGCAGGACCACTTCAGTCAAAATTCGTTCCGCTCCGCTTTCAAGATTCCTGAGGAATGGAAATCGTCGGTAATTTCGCTCCCTTAAATCGATCGTTGCCAGAGTGTTTTGTAAACCGATTCAGGGTTTAGGGTCGATAA